TAACAAGTTAAATTAAAAATTCATAATTATCATATATGTTTTTTTTTTAGTTATCAAAGTCAAGGCACTATTCTGGTCGAATACTTACAAATTATAAGTTCTCAAATGAAAACTAAAAAAGAATTATATGAGGTATTAAATAAAGTTATTTAAAAAAAATATATATCAAAAGCTTCATTCAAATATTTATTTTTTTACAGATACAATCATTTGTTAATAAATCTTCAGATTATTTAAAAAGTGCTAATTTGACCATCAATCAGATATTTGAGTCTATTAAGATAAACATTGGATGGATTTCAAAGTTTTATCATAACATTATAATGCACATGGTATAATAATTAACAATGTTAAAAGTAGTTTGTTATATAAACATGAAAAATTAAATTATACACATTTTTGCTATATCTGTTTCATAATATGACGTCGTTTCTACTTTACCTTGATTTATATCACAAAATGATATTTGTAGATTTGAATGATTTATTAAATATCTGAATTAAATTAAACTCATAATTTTTAAACGTCATCAAATATATTTATTCATTTTTCACAATAGTTAACATAATTCTATGTACATATTTCTATTAAGTGTTATTAATTTTTGTATTATAATAAATAATAACATGAATTAAATTATGTTTCTTTTTACAAGATAAATAATAGTTGAGAAAATTAATATTTCTCTTATAACCAATTCAGGTTCTATTTTATGGTTTAAAATAAATATATATATATATATGTATATATATACTGCTCATAAATATTTGATTTATAAACACATTTTCTAAAAATATCTATCTATTCGATTTACTAATTTTGAGAGCATAAAAATAGTATCTAATATCAGAATTGACACTATTGTACATATTACGACCAGCAGTCCTCGATTTGTTGGTCCCTCGTCCCGAATTTTATTTACTATAATGCTCGTATATATTTATATATATATAAAAATTTTATAGCTCAGTTTTAGCAGTTTTAGTAGTAGGACTTTATCGTTCGCTCTTTTGAATCAGTGATGTATGCCACTGGTTTGTTTAATGTTGACAATATTGAGCAATTATCGTCTTTACATAATGTTATTATAATTCTGTTTCACTGTTGGTGTGTGGGCAAGTATTTCCGACAACTGAACATTGATTGGCAACCGATTGTCATATAGAGTCGGTGCCTGTAGGATTATCCCCGCAGACCCCATGGTCACGGCCAATGTAAATATCCATAAAAACAACCTGTCTAGTACCATCGCTACATATTTCCAATCTTCTTTAATCTAAAAAAACCACGATTTCGAAACATTTTCAACTTAAAATTCAAGTTCAAATGGTTAAGTTTAATTGGATAATATTCAAATTATAATTATACATATATTTACCTTTTTCTCTTCTTCTTCTTTCTTTATGTAATCTGCTATGAACGCCGCGCCTTCAACGGCCTTATGAAGTTCTGGACAATCGTGCCAATGTTTTCTACCCTTAAGCACTGGGCTATTTTGGTTTAGTTCGGAAGGACTGGGTAATGCTATTATTGGACCGTGAATCTCGCAACAGCCAATTACACCACTTTCCAAGTCCCTGATGATATTTACATAAAGGTAAGTTAATAAAGAATAAAATTAAAGATCTGATTATTTTTTTTGACTAAATTATACCTGGCAGGAAATACATCATTGCTGTGCAACAACTGATCAGCTGAATTTTGGTCTCTAAGCTCAAGTCCGTTGCACGTTCTTACCATAATTCGATGACAAGTTCCTATCAGACTAACAAATTAACACTTATTATTATTGGATCCACGGCTGTAGATATAATTTAAACACATGATTACCTTTTTCTTTCCATTTGGTAGTGAGGTCTTCTCATGATTAACATTCTTGGTAGAATGTGAATGAATACTCGGCGGACCCAAGGTGACATTACATGTGTAGTGGGAGATCGGAAGTGTATATTCAACACAACTACTGTTACACATATACTGAAAAATCAATGACAAGCATTGAAAAACGTTATACATAGTTTACGTCCTATAATGTGCAGTATCGATAATAAGCTCACCTAAGCGTGTCAAGTATCATTGTAAATAGCACAAATTTTCCCAAAAGTGGTACGACTAGTGATGTGGGTGGAATGATTTCGGCTAGCAGCAGAAAGAACACGGTCAGTGAAAGAAGAATCGAAATACTTAAACTAACCTAAAATAAAATTACATTTTTGATTTTATTATTTTGTTTCCGTTTAGCGTGTGTGTTGTGTATATTACATGTTACAACATATGTATTTCACTTACTTTTTCGTTACTATCTGATGGAAGGTAGAACACAAGTATTGTGAGAAATGATATCCCCATGCAAGGTATGATCAAGTTTACTGTGTAAAATAGCGTTTTCCTTCTCATCGTAATATTGAATGTAATGTCTAAGTATGGTTCTTCGCAGCAAGTATAATATTTCTCATTTCTATAATATAAAACAGTATGATATAATAAATGCCCATTATAAATAATAGATATTATTTATTTTATTCTCAATTTATGTATGAAAAAATGTGAAAAAAAAATCATGTGCGACTTAGAATAAATACGGTAGAAAAAAATGTTATAAGTTATAACGTAAGCTTTAAACTTCTGGGAAATTATATATAATGTACAGAAGTATAGAAGTAATTAAACTTTAAAACGTGGTCAAACATACAGGCCATACAAATTACATTTATTGCTATGGAGAGGGTATACAATATAAAACAAAGGGTAATAATAAAACATAGTTATGATAAAATTATGCTAATGAACAATATAATATATAATATTCAAAAAGCTAACCTTATTGCTGGAACCTCTAATATATCCCATTCGACGGATGAGTAAAATTCGGATAAATCAACACCGACATCTACAACTCGTGAACCACTAACTTCATTTGCATGTCTCAAATCCACCTAAAAATGAATGTTTTGATAAAATATCACATGTATATGATTTCACCAAACAATTTTTGATTTTGAATATAATTTTTGATTACCAACATATACAAATGCTAAACATTCTACGTGATTAATGTTTCAAGAAATATTTTTTTTATAATTTATAACAATTAATCATCATTTTTCAGAAAATTTTAAATTTTTACTAATTTTATCGATAAATTGCCCAAGTTCTTCACTCAAATAATGAAATATTTAGATTAAGAGATAGAATATTTTTGTTTTAATTTGAATGTATTAAATTCGAATTTCAAACAATTAATTATAATAAATTAACCTAATTTAACTATTTATATCGATTAACACATTTTTTTTTAAAACTTATCTTGTTTTTGCCACCAGAAAAGCAACAATATTATTATTTATTATTTTTAATACTTCACGGTCAGCCACCGATCGACACACAAACATGTTACTGTTTTCATTATATCTGTTTATTTTATTTTATATTTTAATTTTTTGTTAGGTGTATTGTTTTTCTTTTAAATTACATTGTTATACTGTTTTTTCTAAATTATATTTATTCAGTGCGCAAATCGCCAATTTTTTACCATTAATTTTTTATTGTTCTTTCATATTTGTGTGTATGTGTGTATGTGAATTACCATTTATTATATAGCTAGGAAGCAGCTGGCCAGTCTGCGCTCCACAATTTGTGAGTTTTTGATTACTGCTATTGTATATATTTTTATACTATTGAGCCAAAAGGGCCCCTTATATTATTATTTTGTTTTGCCTGGCCATAAGGGCCGCGCGTACATAACCATATTGTATTATTATATTATTGTATCATTATATTTATATTGTAGCTCTAATAGCTTTTTATAGCCTTTTATATTATTGAGCCAGAAGAGCTCTTATTATTGTTATATTATAATGTTGTGGCTCTGATAACTACCATAATTATATATAAATATTTTTTCTTGTTGGGCCAAAAAGGGCCGTAACTATTAATTATTATTAATTATTGTACATAATATATATATTCTTCACCGCCATCTATATTGAATTACCTATTTGTCCCTAGATTTAAGTACACACACACACACACACACATTAGCGTTCAATAGTCTTGCTCGGCAACCCTGTTCACTTCTAATGCATTTTTAATAAATCTATACACACTTGGACAGGTCGGTCGATGTGTGAGTGAGCGCGCGAAGTAGTAACGACCAGGTGAACGATCTATATTATTACTCGTACCTGGCGCGTACGCTTGCTGTAATTTAAAATTATACAAACAAATAAATATACCCAAAAACATGAATACTTTTTAAGAAAATGATCGCTTTAAAATAATCACTTTGTGTAAAATAAAACACTATACATTTAAATGTTAGGTAGTACGTATATCACTATTATTTTAAATATCAAAATGATAAATTCCTTGGGTTATTTTATTCATCTATATTTTATTATATTATAGATTCTATGATAAATAATAATACTCTTAAAATATAAACATTTCGTTTACGATGCAAATCAATACTATTAAAGTCATTAATAAAAAACTTAATAAATGTATAATAAACGTGGTACAAATAAACACTGAAAGACGAATTTTGACGGGTGACGTTTAACCAATGAGATAATTGGCCCTTAAGGTACAGTATACGTTCTGCAGTAGGTGTTTAAAAAACGCGTGGTTTTTTTCGAAAAAAGAATTCATTGGAATTGCTGGTGCGGTGACACTCGGCAATCGGAGGGAATGTATCTAATAACTGACAGCAGCTGACACGTGACTAATAAAAGTGCTCGTATAATCGCGTTAAAACTGACGCAACCGCTTACTCGCGTCGATGTTTATGTATCATAATAATAATAGGTATCGTCGCGACTCGCAACGCAGTAGAAACGAACATGGCACATTTCCGGTGTGAGAAAATGCACGGACGAATAACGATTGAAGCGCATCGCGAACATCGCGCAGTGTCCCTTACGCCCCGACAAAGGACTCATCAGACGATTTGTCGTGCGTTGTCGTGCGTATCGCGTTAAACGACGGCAATGTATCCAACGTACCCATGTAATAGTTTGTCTAGTCAGATTCAATTTCGAACAATTTTATTGGTATTTCAGTCACGCACAAACGGCTCAAATCGTCGGTACACCGAATTTCGTTAATTGTCCGCGAGTATATTGATAATACACGACTGCACGGTTGTAAGTATACGTGTTATGCGTTAAAAATGCGAAAAGAAAACATTTGGAAAGAGAATCTGACCATACAAATAACGGACGTTTGAAAAAGACATCGTCGTACCAACGCGAGTTACGAAAAACAAACTATTCCGAGCCCGTACTTGTTTATTTATTTTCAGTCTCCCTCTCCGGCGTATGATCGCCTTAAAAATAGTGTACATTTTCCAACTACAATAATGAATGTATAAACATGCACGTGATGTAATGGCATATACGACGTCGTCATCCAATGTAATGGACGTGATTGTACGGAATAACAGCGAAGAACAGTTGACGGAAATTCTATAGATGCGAACACGAAAAATGAACGTACACGACCGACGGCGACGTTGACGATAGATCACAATAATTTAACGACTAACAGCAGTCAGCAAGCAACGCCGCGGAAAACGCGAACAAAACGGAAACAGATTCGAGAATTTACCACACAGTCTACAATATGTTCTAATAATTATCGCTGCAATTTTCTATGTTTTACGCGATTAATAATATTTGCAGACAACTGCTTCTTACCTCCGACAATATTATTTTAATCGTCTGGCTTTTTATACGATTTCCGTGGTTATTTTTATTGTTTTGTATGTTTTTTTTTTTTTTTTAATAGAAAATTATGACGTCGTACGTTAAAAATTATGTAACATGTCGCTGCCGCCACGTTATACTATGTTTCGAGTGGTCGTGTTGGTCATCATGTTGCAGCTGATCATCGCTGGTACCGGAAGTCGAGATGCGCACGGTACTGTTCTGTACAAGCTCGCGGACGTCAACCGGATGACGTGGACGTACGTCGAGCGGATCGAACTCCAGAGCCGAATGACGGTTGGGTCGCTGGTTCCCGGCGCTAACTTTAGTAACAGCGATAGCGGTGAAATTTTTCTCGAATACTTCGATCTGATCAAAAGCGAGGCCAAGAAAATTGTATCGTCTGTGACCAGGAAGCGCGCGATGATCGCCGTATTAGACGTGTTGGGGGGGTACCTACACACCAAACTGCTACCACACGCCAGAGAACTGTACTATGAGGGACGGGCCAAATATTCAACAGTTAAACGGTTACACGAACTCGAGAAAAACATCAAGTAATTTTTTTTGTAGTTGTTTTAAAAGACAGTTTTTCGAAAAGTTTAATCGTATTTAAATATTAATTCAGAGTTAATTGCAACAGAAAAGCCTCACATTATTATATAGCAGCTTTCGACAAAAAATTTATAGAAAAATTTATTAAATCATATGTTATCGTGGATCGAAAATACTCTTGAAAGAGTATCTCATATCGGGTTTTCGCCATGTTTAGTACATTTTTTAACACTTAATCTTTTAAATTAAAGTCCTATACCTACGATTATAACTTTTTATTAAAATGGTTATTTTACAAAAAAGCGTATCAATGGGGTGCCTTTCTGTGATATATATACAGCATATATTCATGTAATATTTTGGTTGATTATTATATATAATACTGAATAAATTTCTTCTATTGATAATAAAAAACTGTTGTTTTTAAGACGAGACTATAAAAATAAAAAAAAAAAAAATTGTAAATTTATCTTCAAATAATTATTGAATTAAAAAAAATAGATGTAAAAAAATTAATTTAATAATATTTGTTGAAATTGCAAATGTGGTACTTGGAGGGTGATTGCCCCCCCTCATATATCCTTTTGTGCTGTCCATAGAATTTATGTACCAACAATTTTCTGTGAGAACTGAAAAGCGCACTCAATAATTATTTATTATTATAACCCGCAAGATAACAGAAATAATGGAACTCAAACAATTATCATTACGTTGATTTTGAAAAATTTATTTAGATAATTCAACCATTTCGACAGTTTGCTCGTTATTTATTTCATTCATTTTCTTATGAACTTACTATTTTCAAATTTATTTTATAATTAATGTTTTAATTGAAGTATAAAAGTAAACATTTTTCTTCATAATAGAAAAAAATGGTAGCCAACATAAACTGATATCTAACAAGGTTTAAAGCATTACGTTAATAATTTGTTAAAAATATATAAGTCTTATGAAATATCCATCTTTAACCTTGTCACATAGGATTATTGTAGATTAAACGTGATCCGATTTCCTAATTACGTATATATTAAATTTTATAGCTCGTCAGAAACCATATGTATGTAAGCTAAATTAATTTAAAATCTAAAATAATTCAGTCAACATTACGTGTATAGAATATTAGTTATTAATGCGATTAATAATAAGTTGATTTTATTGTAAAAAGAAGTGGAGGACTAAATTAATACAAAACAATGTCATTTTTTTTTAAATGTTTTTAGTCGAACAAACTAAATTACAATACCAAGCAAAGAAAAATTATACTGCTTTTAAAATCAGACAAAGGCAAATTAATATTTTTCCCACCATCAAATAATGTCACCAGTATATACTGTGTAAACAAGAGTTTTCATAACTTTAATGTTGTGTTAACACCATATTATTAAACCATATTATAGTAGGGATGTCATTAATTTAAATGCGTTTTCAAGCAAGCTCAAGTATAGGTTCTTATAAGCTCTACACTTGAAAATGTGCGCGTTTAGTTTTCATTTTAAAATTATTTGTGGAAATTTTCTCTTAGAAATTTAACACCTCATTAAATAATATATTTTGAACCGGAAGAAGAAAAAATGTTATTATATCAAACGCCGCAAATCACAGTAACGTAATAGCATAGCTACAGCTAAGTGTTGATGGTGCATGTACTTCTTTATAATAAAATCGGAGAAACTTTCGTAATCTGAGTAGTAAGCTTATAAGTTGGCGCCGACGGTCGTATCTTTTTTTTATTAACTCTGGCACACCCGCGGCTGCAATCTATGATATAAAAAAACTTCTTGTTAATAACAGTTTTAGTACATTTATATTATACACCATTGAGTCCTAAGTATATTGTTTTCCGATCTCCAGTTTTGTCTCGACCTTTAAAATAATAAAACATTATATAATGTTGAACGCGTAAACATTACAGAAATCGGTCACGCGACCGGGTGGTGAATATGTATAACGAACCCGAACTTTCAGTCAACCACTTAAATGAGGGTATTCGTATTTTTTTATTTATTTCCTATAAAACGTTCCATACTATTTACATACGATCTCGTTCCGACTTACGACTAGGGCTTCGTGTCCTTTCAACTAGTATGATTACAATAACCGTAAAACGCATGCTTTCTGATAGGTTATAGGTAGTTTGAAATATCTTAAAGCAAACATTAAACGTCTATAAAAACTAATCTTTCATCTAGTTTAGTTTATTACTTATTAGTGAATGTACAGCTAGAAAAATTTAAAAATAATTAAATGTACACAGAGATCAAACAAATGAACAGCGCATGGTTTACGGAATAAAATATACGACATTTTTGGACGTTTAATGGATCATTTTTTCTATCTGCTTTCTTTTAATTTATTTTTATTTTTAAACAGCTTACATTTTTTGTTTTGACTTAAATCTACAGGCTTTAAATATCCGATCAACTACTTTTTTTTTAAATCTAGATAACTATATTTGTAAAAGATATTTTAATCCACAGATTTAAATTGTGAGTATAACAGCGAATTATCTAAATACTATAATCCTATTTTTGGGATATCTTGTTGAATTTAACTAATCGGTGTAGTCTACATTTTCTTTCTTAGTTCTTACACGTATATATGAATAGTATCGTATATTATACATATATGGACCATACTTAAAGTGGTCCCGGTTAGGTCTCGGAATCCCGGACAAAGTTTTCCGGGAGAACACCGATTTATATTAGTTCTGAATTTACGCATAGAAATGTTCCAGAATTTAAAATTGTTCACATAACTTTTGTTTATATACTCGGTTATCGGTTTTATTTTGAACTAAACCTTATCGTAAATATTAGTTACTGTAACAATATTTGATAACAAACGTTGGAACGTATGACAATAAAAGTAATAAACATTTTCTAAATTTAGCCAATTTACTGCATTTAACTTCAAAGTTCAAACTATACATTTTAATTTACAGTCGGAAAAAACCATTTTATGATTTTTGAATTTCAAAAACTACTATCACGAAAGATAATAATAACGAAAAATTTATTAATTTATACATAAGCACACATTTTTTATTTTTCGACAATACGAATCGTAAGTGAGTGTGAGATCTATTATCAGTTTTATTTGTATTTAATGTATTTATACTATATAATGCCATAATTTTATTCAGTTCATATTTTTTTTTTACATAGTTATTATGCTGCCAAAAACATTCTGTTATTTTAATGAGAAGTTGCAAAATGATTTCCCATTTATTAAAATACTTAATCCTACTGACGATTTAAATGTACAGTGTATAAGACTTGCCATTAACATTTTAATTATTATATAAAATAATTTATAATTTTTACGTCCCGGATTTCTTAAAATTTAATCTGGAAACCCTAATTCCATAGCCGTCCGTAAGTTTTCAAGCTTAATATGAAATTTAACGATGTGTTAGTGAATAAATAATGTATAAAACAAACCGCGACAACGGATGTTTAACAGTTTTAGCTTATTTCCACCTATACGTATTCAAAACGATTGTTAGTAAAAAGTAAAAAATAAATTAATAAATAAAACAGACAAAATACAAACATAATTATATGCGCTCGAAAATAAATCGCAAAATTTAGAATTAAAATTAAACACATTTAGATTTTAACTACTACGGATTATCGTAGTATAATATGTGTTATCCGTCGTATTTTTTTTTTTTCGTCGATTATTATTGTTATCGTAACTATACTATTACAATCAAAACGAATTAATGTTATATTGTCGTTCGGGTCACTGTCCACAGACACGTTTTGGGCACGGACGGCCGAGGTTGGGCCAGACCGACAGTGAGCGGCCACCGGTCGGACGAGGGCGCGGCGCCAGCGGTGCGGCGTACGGGCGGACGGACGTCACGATCGACGGTTAGGCCCAGTGACGACGACGAGGCGACTGGCCGTTGCGGCGGCGTGGACGCGGGCCAGTACGGTTTGTTGCGACGGTGGCGGTCCGCGAAGACCGCGGCCGGCGGGGCCGCGTACACCGACGCCGTGCCGTATTTCGACAACGACACGCGACCGCACTCGCTGGTGGTGCCGTGGCGTCCCGGTCGGCCGGTGCTGTACGGCGTCCGGGACGCCGGTTGTCACCAGACGCTGTTCGACCACCTCGTGACGGCCACGGCGGCTGGCATGGGCGCCCGCCGGGCCGCTCTGCGCCAGTGGCTTGTCGAGGTGGCGTTGCCGCTCGCGAAAGCCCCGGCCACAGACCGATGGTATCCGGCCCTGTGGGGCGTCACGCTCGTGGCCAAGCGCCTAGCCGAAGCGGACGGCGGCGGCGGCCGGGATAATGGTCGCGGCCACCGTCAGTTGGACTGCGACTGGACGACAGCGGACGTGCCCGGCGTCAACTTTTATGCGACCGTCATAATGTTGTGCACGCTCGCCTGTTGGTCATTGGCCATGTACATCGCTACCGTCAGTCACTCTTTTGGTTTTAACCGCGTCCCATAACCATCGCGCACGAAGACCGTGTATTGTTTACCCGTTATTTTTCACGTGGTGCAGAAGTATTTATTATTTTTTTTTTTTACGCGGTAGCACTGATTTTCCACGACTGACATGTTTCTTTCTCGTATAGTCGTTATCAAAATAGTAATAATAAACAAGACGTATACGATGTATTGTGCGTTGTAAATTATTATATAAAACGTATTTTCCTCAAAACTTATTTAATTCGATTTCATGATGACAACAAGGTTTTCGGGTAAAATTAATACGGCCGGCGGGTTTTTATAGTTTGCGACTGCTAAGATTAAACAATGTATAAACAGAAGAGAAACATATTTCCTAAGGCATATTTTTAATGTTAAAATATGATTTAATTCGTCAGTATTTCTCGTAAAAGATTTACAAACATTAGAAATCCGGAACGAATCCTGATTTAATATTGGATGTGTACTCAGTAGTTTTTCAGAGTGAAGTTTTTATTAAAAATGAAAAGACATAGTGCAGCTATAAAGAATGGTAATTTAATTTCATGTCATAATACTAATTTTAAGTTTCAAACATTGTAGAATAATAATTTATAATAATGTTAATCAACAAATTTTTAATATAATATATGGGTGCACTCGGCGCGCGTTAATGAGTAGTAGGTATATATTATAATAATTAAAATATGTTTATCTTTCGATATTGTGTATTTGTTACATATTCATTACCATAAAACGAAACTCGGTATTTTATGGTTATGGGGTAGACATGTTTCATTTGACACCTCTAATTTATTATGTCGATAATACTTATACTTTACCGCATACGCGGTACATACGCTCGGACAGACTTCATCGCAGACGCACTAGTATATAGATAAATCGCTATTTAATTGCTCCAGTTTACGCATACCCTTTTAAAAATACTTATTGTAGTTTATTATTGTCACGACGAGTTTGATATTATACTACTCCGACGTATCGACGCCACACAGCCGCCGTCGGTTAGATTTATTATTTTATTACGAGTTCAATGCCACAAAATTCCACCGGAACAGAAGACACATGCTGCTCTTATGTCATAAGTACATATATAGGCATGTGTACGTTTTAAGTTTTAATATTCAAAGGGGCGTTGGCGGTGATGGCCGCCAAAGGAAGAGAAAAAAAAAACGTTTTACACAAGATCAATGAGCGAATGAATACGTTTGCAATGAAGGCCGACGTTTAAGTTGACAAGGGGAGAATGACCCGGTTCTCATGAATATTGATGACTGCAGGTCCGAGAGACACCGAGACAATATATTAAAAAAGAAAAAAGAAAAAAATACATCCACCAGAGAAAAATACAGAAAAAATGAGACGAAAAATACCACGGGCATTTGAAAAATAAAAAAAGCTTTGCAAAGTTACTGTAGAAAATAAAATATATTATAAAATACGCTTGTCATCATGAGCCTTGAAAATAATATTGGTACATCATTGCTATTATAAGTAAGTAGTTTTTTTTTTTTATCATTAAATTTAGTTATAATTTGGAGTATTATTAAATCTGATTAGTTATATCGATCAAAGTATGACGCTTAATTAATTTTTTTTAATTGATATAATATGATGTGTTTGTGTTTTTGCCAAAAAAAAAATTAAAAAGTAACCAAAACCGATCGTTATAAATTATACAACGCGGATAAACCGTAATTTTATGCTACTGATACTGAATTATCGATAGAATACATAAAGTGCAATGCAGACTCTAATATTATTTCGGATTGTTTTAAAAATGATTTTAACTCACAGGAACAGCAATAATCAGTTTCCGCGAATGATATTTAAAAAAATTTAGTTGTAAGCTGAAACTTACCTGTATATTTTAATCTAAGCAAGTCAACTAATCGGTCAATAGATTGCATTTTTCAGCAATTGTACAAAATAATTTATCAAACATATTAAATACTAAAACAAATATTGTAACATGCAAAGCAATTAATATTAAAGGCTTAAGAAATAAATATATTTTTTTAGAATTAAATAATAATGTTTTTTAAATATTATAGCTATATTTTAAATTGTTGATATTATCATACATATTTAATCACTTAAAAGTTGTTTTGTTTTAATATATTATTATTTTTATTTATGTTGAAATCTGCTTTCTTATTAAATTATAAAATTTTTCTTTATTTTTTCTGTTTTGGACCATGTAATTAAATAATTAAAGTACTTTAAATTACCAAATTTATATTATCTGTGTTTAAATGTCGTATATCGTAACTTCTTACCTCTAGAATAAGTTTTAAGCTTACAGGAGGTAGGTAAATCAAAACTGTATCTATAAAAAAATACTCACTCCCTCATTTTTTTAAAAAATGCTGTTATTAAAAATCTACTTTTTTTTATTTTCTAAATATAAAGGTCATAGTTTTCAAATACATATGATTTTTTTTGTACCTTTTAAAAAGTGACCTGTAACATTAACAAGTATTTTTAAATGAGCACTACCTTTTTTTACTTAAGATTATTTGATAAATTATTTATTTTTTTTATAACGTTGATGAATTTAAATCAAAATTTGAACCAATAGTTTCCGAGATATAAAACATTAGGCATTTAAAATAATAGAATAATAGTTATACTTTTATAGTTTATATATAGAAATTAAATAAAAAATAAATTATGTAATATTTAATCATTTATATTTGGGAAAAAAAGTTAGGTTGTTTAGATAATTTAATCAATAAAACGAAAAGATTAGTCACTATAACTTGGTTTTTAATTAATTTAATCAAAGATTAGTGTTAAGCTTCATTAATTTATTAACATTTTATAATTTATAGTATTAATATTGTTTAAAGAGTAACTAATAAGAACACAGCTAAACGAATTTATAAAGATTTACGCATTTATATTTTTTGTATAGTCATTGGCGAGTGTCTAGGACAGACTATTATTCTTAATATCAACATAAAGTTTTAAAAGTTGGAAACTATTCTTTCGGATTTTAATTTAGATATATACAATTTTTCAAAAAAATTATCTTCTGAATACTTAAAAGCAAAAATAAAATTGATTCTTTTATAAAACCAAAATTTTTTACTATCATAAGACACTTTAAATGATACAAAAAAATTTCAGTTCTCGAATATTCAAAAATATAGTCTTTAAGTATAATTAAAAATTTCAAAAATAGATTTTAAATAATGTATAGTAGAGGCCATTGATTTGATATTATTTCAGATCTGTTATCACCAAAATTTAAATAATTTCTAAAATGGGTGGTACTATAGAAAGTTTGAGAATCTTTGGGCTATAGCATGGTTAGTAAATTATTCTGTATTTTCATCTACGGTTTGTACTAATCTCAACTGTCTTACTATAAAATAAGCACACTATGACTACAGTGATGTAGTTAAAATGTCTATCTATAACGCCGTTAGATCATTATTGATATTACCTATGTATTAAAAATATAAAAATTAATATTATATGTTTACTTTACCTAAATCGACATAAATAACAGTACTGAGCGTTATTTAAACCAATTACTTGTGTTTAAAAACATGATTAGTTATTAATTTATATTTATATAAATGGTTACTACCTTGTTAAGGTATCAAAAATACGTATAGTTATGTAGTTGTATATAGCTTTTATAGACTAAACATCTTATTATAACAAAGAATTCATTAAATATTCTTTCCTACAAAAAAAAATAAAATAAAATAAAATACTAAAAACAGAATGTAGTTAAATCCACCATTTTTAAACTTAATAAATATAAGCACGTGTTAGAATTTGAACATTTAACACTTAAATTGTCATAAAAACAAAAATATTTAGTTTTTTTTTTATGATTACAAGAAGTTTTCCATATCATAAATTGTTATTGATGAATGAAGGTTTTTCGTAACTATATACGAGTATATATAGTATTATACGTATATTGTATACATACATATTATGATTTATAAAATATAGCTTTAGATGAAAACTGATTAAATACGATTTACGAAAAAACAATCAGGATTGCATTTTTTAAGTTTTCCACAAACGTTTTAATACTTATTAAACATTTATAAAAAAAAAAATGAAAAAAAAATAGATCATTTTTAAATTAATTAAAGAGTTATTTGAATTTTCAAAAACACTTATTATCCCAAAAAAAATGTTACTTAGATAAATTATATAAATAGTGATGAATATTTCCCCAGTTTTTAGGGAAGTACTGAAAATAAAATTCATGAATTGTTCTAAAACTAAAACCACAATTAAACCAAAAATTTAAAATATTTTTCTAGATAAAAAAGTCTTTGTTTCTTAAATTTGATGCCAATTGAATAAACGAAAAAATTTAATCCATCTATGTTACCTAATACGATCTATGAAGGTATGCCTATATACAAAACTTTATAGCCTTTATTATATTTAGTTTATTACTATTTTTATGATAACACCAAATGGTAAAAACATATTCTACTTTATTAAAGTAAATGTTTTGCCATATTATACTGATTAAATGTAACTTTTTTTGTCATCTATTGAAATTTAAAAGATTATTTTAAGCAGATATTAAATAAATGTAATTATAATATATTAAATGCCATTCTTATAATTGTCGTTACTCATCATAATATAATATACTACAGATATTGGATTACTTTAAAGATGATATGAATAAAAGTTTAGCTAATAGTTTTTTGATTGTGTATGTAGTATGTAAAAACAATTATAATGTTTCTCAACTAAATTACACCTATTGATCAATAATAAATTTTTTCATACTTGAAATTAAACGAATCTATTACAACTTATCTATAAGCCTAATTGTATATTTTCCGTTATTATATAATCTATTCTAAACTGGAACTATTAAATACATACTAAATGCTACTATAGTGGTACGTGCTAGTAGTAATGATACTTTGGTGTTGGTATTATGTGTACTATTCTGATAAAAATATTTAATCATTTTTGGAGGAAATCCAAAGAAATAAAGATAAAAACAGGAAAAACGAAAAAAGAAAGAGAGAGAGAGAACGAATGAGGAAGTGTTCGATTTTGTTCATTTTTTAGCCACTTTGAACCTATCGGATGTAAAGAAATTCACTACGTGCGTGTGTGCCTTGGTTCGAAATGGGATTCAAAAGGATATCCTGTAGGAGATACTATAGGATAAATGAATGGTGTTGAGGGGAGAAACAAGAAGGAAGGACAAACGAGGGAGAAACAGCCCTTTTATCGAACCGTTCGTTTTCTCTCTTTATATCATGGGCTGCGTTAAAATTTATAACCAAAATTATGGTAGCCTTTATAACTGCTAATACAAAGTGTTTTCATAACCTTCGCCAAATTGCATATTGTGTACGCTATACCGTAAGTTCCTAACGTATGGGAAATTATCCCAACCGTAGGTAATAATTTGTATGCAATCCTTTTAATATGAGATTAATAATTTCATTATTAATAACTAAGCATATATTAATTAAGTGTGCGATAATAAATCGCAGATCGATTACGTATAACTATATAATGACTAACGAGGAGTAATTAAACTGCATAGATCAGAGGTTTTTAGTCGTTTTGTTAACATAATGATTTTATTTTACATTTTAACGTGAAAATATTTATTTTATAGATTTGTATATATTGTTCCATTCAAAAATAAACAATATAGATAAAAGTTCTTAAAATTAGCGTCTACTTTTATCACTATAGATTATAATAATAGATTTTATCTAATACAATATTATGGCTCAGCTGTAACGGTAATGTTAAACTGATAAAATTCGATGATTATGTGTAATTTGATAATATAGTGATGTTATAAGATAATTAAAAATACTACAGAAATTTAGTGTAGTGGAGATGTAAAAATGGGGGTATTGAGAGGCAATCGTCTTTGAGTACTTTTTTTTTTTGTTTGTGCACTCACGAGTAATTTTTAAGAGTGATAAGTAATATGGCGGATGAGTGAATTATAGATTCCGGTAATTTTTTAACTTGTCACGTAATTGAAGGTAAACGAAAAACGAAAATGGGTAATAATGATAAAAGAACTAATGATGAATGTATTATTTAAAGAACATTTCATGACACTATTAATAACAAACGTTTTTATGTCAACTAGAAAAATTAAATTTTTATAGCATAATAGGATTTCAGTTAATTTACTCGGTGCTCCACAATATGAGTTGTAAACAAAAAAATGGATTCCTGCATGCTATTATACTAACAAATATTAAAAATATACAATGCCAATGCCTTATTAATAAAATCTAACTTTTAAAAATATAGAATTCTTTATTTAATTAATGATTAATATAATTAGGATAAAAAAAAAAAAAAATGTATTCAAATAAAAACTATTGTCAGTGTCACTTATACAATGTATTGTTGTATTTAAAAATAGGTTGTTTTATATACTAAAATAGGAAATTAGGCTTACACAATCGATTTGTACGTCAGTTGCACACTGACTTTGAAATTTATCGGCACACCATAAAGGAAAACCCTTCTAGGATTTAATTCGTATTGTAGCTATTGTTTGAAAACATTAAAACAATCCCTTTTGACTTATTGAACTTGTTAATATAATATTAAGTTTTCTTTGGCTTAATATCTAAGCGACCTAGCCACACGAGTAGGAAAATGAAAAGAAAAGTAATAAAACTAAGTGCTTTTTCCTCGTTTCGAAATGGAAAAATAATATTAAGGCACCTTTTAATTTTTCTACACAAAAGTTTTATGAGAAATGTGGTAAATTACATGGGATAGCAATAATAAAAAATATAGATAACTGAATGAGAATTAAAATATTTTTCAAACTCAATAGTTTCTTGGTTAGATTAAAAAAAAAAAAATTTATTTTTTTATTTTTTTTAGTGGTTTTGTTGATTGTTTATTGGTATATTTTACCGATTTGACATATATTTGCACATAATATGAATAGAATTAAGTAGATTAGGTACTTATAATAATGGCATTTATAGTAATTAGTGATTACTGTAGTTGTTTTTAGTGTCTTATATTACATAATAATATAAACTTATGAACTTTTAAATACATTAAAATATTTTATACTGATGCTATAACGTCACATTTTTACTTTTTTATAGTGATTAGATATTTTTAATATTGTATTATTTTTAAGTTCAATTTCTTTAAATATTTAGTTATGTAATTTACAAAAATTAATATACATATTTATATTAAATATAATAATTAATATTACTTTTGAAAATATTAAATTGTGTTAAATAGTTTATATTCTAGATTATTTTAAAAAACAAATAAAATATCTAAATTTATTTGTATATAATATTTGGTAGTAAATGTTAAAAACACAGAACTAATTTCAAACTACACTGTGAATTAGTAGTTCAAAACATGTCATTAGCAGATTGTTGTCAACTTTAAATGACGTCTGAGTTATGTAACAAGGAAATTAATCCATAGTTTTTAGAAAAAATGATGTTAAAATTATTTGATAACCTTATTAGGATAGTCTGGCTTGATTACTTTATTTATATTTAAACTTTCTAAGGTTTAATTAGGTAGATATTTAATATTTATTATGTTATATATATAATCTATATATTAATTTCAAGTGATATTTATAATCTGTGTTAGATTTTAACAGTAAACATGCATGACGATTATCTAATAAGTATAATAAATATGAACAATATGAAAACGATGCTATCTAGTTATACAACTCTACTTAAATTGTATTTAATTAAATATTATTTTTTATTAAAAATTTAAAATAAAATAACGGATACAATAATCAATAATGTTATACTATAGGTAATTATAATGAAAAATTATTTTAAAAAGCATAACCGGAGTGTAATTAGTAATTACCCATAAGTAATACCTCATTCAATTAATTATTTATGAATTTTAATTTAATAAATCGCGATTTCAATAATTGCATTTTAATCAGCGAAAAGGGTTATAGCTGCTTGTTAGGGATAGAAAAGGTATAGATAATATTCCACATTTTTTTTTTTTAAGGGTTAATATAATTATTATTTTTCAAGCGTAAGTATACCGTTTTAAAAATAAATATTTATATACTTTGGTTTTAATGTATACGATATAATCAGTTTAAAATTTATATTAATTTGCTTTGTGTATAGATACGCACATAAAACTATGTAGAAGTATATTTACTAGATTTTTTAATGTTGTAGTACTTAGATAGTATAAAAATAATTGTAGTCAAAACCAAAAGGATAAATGTGTATTTTAAAAAGGTACTAATAAACCAAAGAAACGCCACAAATTATTTGTGTTCAATAAAATCAAATGTAATCTCGATGACTATTATATTGTGAAAAAGTGCAAAATTAAAACGATATTAATATTATATTATATAATTGAACTTAAATGATTATATTAAAATAACTTATCTTAATCCACATTAATAAACTAAAATTATTAATTAATGGAATAATTTTTGTTAAACTACCTATGTTAAAAATTAAACTGATTCAGACTATTGGGCTGTAAATGCAACTAGATTACTCTTATCCAACATAATAAAAGCTTATCGAATAAACCTCAGCTTATTTATTAAACACTTCCTTGTTATTTAATAATTATACAATAACTAACAATTATTTGAAATATATCATTTAATATGATTGTATATTATATGTTTTTGAATAAATCAAAATTATATTATTCATTGAAACACTCTTGTAAATAATAAGTTATAGATAAAAAAAACAATTTTTTTTCTTGTTTTCTTATATTTTTATAAGTTATTATACTATTTTTACTTTTTTAGTAGGTCTTTATTTAAAAATAATTTTTGCTTTATTTAGACGACTAAACAAATTACAAAAACCATTTAATTTTAGAAGAACCGATAAATTAACTGTACAGATTAATTAATGATAAAAAAAAGATCTTAAACAGATCAATTTAATTATTCAGAAAGGTCACATATTTAATATGTTCTGTATTCATTTTTAATAAACATAGGTATATGGTAGATACACATATTTGTGAAATAATAAGTTAATTTTAAGTTTCGCTCAAATTATGTTTTATCGATTAAAAAGCGAGTGATTAAACATTACAAACACGTTCTGACGATATGGAACAAAAACTTTATGATCAAATATCTTCGCTATATGTAAGTAGGTAATTAACGAACTTTCCGCGTACCTCTTTGCCGTCTTAACGTTCTCAACACCGATATTTCGTAGGGCTAAAGTTTTAGAGGCAATCAAGTTTCCCGGAAATTGCGTAAAACCGCATCATTCGTCTACCCTTCAACTGAAGTAGATTGACGACTACAAATAGTTACATATTGTAAGGGGAAAATATTTAACGACACACGTGTGCAATTTTAAAAGACTAAATAAAATGACATATTATTTATTATTTATTTCACATAATATCGAAATGTCAAGTACAAATAGAACATATAACTATAAACACTTTTAAAATTACCGGGAGAAAAATGTACGTATCTAATTGATTGTTTAGTACTTCCTATTTTAATTCGGTTGCAAATGTTGCAATGGTTCAAAAACAAAATAACCTTACAGTTTATTACCTGAAAACCGTCGTATGTCCACGAGCCAAATTTCATCACACACGTTTGTTCATCAAACGGGAAAAATTCTACATCAATTTCGCAGGAAGACTTGTAAATAGCAGGAGGTTTCCACTCGACCCGACCACTATAGTGAAGCATAGCCTTTGTCGCCAATGTTACTTCGAAATTGCCGTCAGCACTTTGAACAAATTTAATACGCAGAGTTAGGTAATCATAAACATAATTATAAACGCAGTGAGCGTTGTTGCAAAAACAATAAAATTACTTGTTATAAAGTACAATATCTGGCCTCCAGACGTGTTCAGATGGTACGTGTAAACCTTCTACACCACCGTATTCATCGGGATTCCACATCAACTTATAATCATACCAATACTTGAAAAGTAAAAAAAAAACATTAGGTTATGTTTTATAATGCATATTTAATGCGAGACATTGACTTTGATATATTTAAAAAAATAAAATAAAGTAAACATTTATACAAGATCTAGTAATATTTTACATCAGTGACCATCGAGTTCTGTATATACTGTTGAAGACTAATTTCAATTTCAATTTATACACAAATATATACATATATTGATATATTATATAAAAATACGGTATGATACGATATTGATCTTATTATGTCATTACTCATTATAAAATATTGACATTTAAAAACTCTATCAAAGTAAATATTATAAATAAAATAGCAAATTTTTAATTTAATTATTTCAAATTCATGTCAAATTTTTAATTTTAAAATACGTCTGATACGGGGATTATACGTGTTCCTTAAAAATAGGTGTTTTAAATTTAAAAGCAATGATGAATCAATGCACTTTGAAAACGGTTTTGGGCGAAGCATGGTTTAATATAATTCATAAAAAGGTTTTAAAATGTTAAGTGCTCATAAAAATAACTTACAAGATTTTCTGAATATATTGAATACACTTAATAATAACTATATAAATATAGTTCCGTAAGAAACCCTTGTTTTCAAATAAGTCAAGACATATTTACTAAAGACTTCAAGTTCTAAAAGTTAAAGTGATTCAAACATTTAAGAAAAAATAATTCTGGTTACTGTTTTTGAAAGCAATCATTCAAGATCTAAAATAATAATATAATTTAATGCTTTTGTTTTATTATTATCATTATTATTTTTTTTTTTTTTTTAATTATTTGGTTGATATTATAGTTATTAAATTATTTATCCTCACCTGTTCTACCCATAAGTTCGTCGTCATAATTTGGTTTTTTAGATTCTGTAACAAAAAGTAAACATATTAAGTTAAGACCAAGAAAGCACTAAGTTATTTCATTTGTGTTTTAGCAGCATTTAAATATTGAATGCAGATTGAACATAAATATTAAGAAATTCATTCGAACAAAATTTATAACTCTAACTATTAAGAACATAATTTATATTAATATATATAGAATGTTAAATAAAATAAAGCTTAATAAATTAATCATTATTAAAAAAAAAATATATTTTTTTATAATTTTACAATAAAAAAAAAATCGTTATCAAATATGTAGTAGGTACCAATATATCTATTTATAATATTTACTATAATAATAATTGTTCTATGTGAATATAGTTCTTAATATATTTATAATGTTGGTCATTACTAAAAAATTTTTAGACAGTTTTGTAAAATAAAAACATTTGTTAAAAATAAACTATTATGTTTATATTTTAAATTCGAAAATATAATTAAAAATCATATGTTACAGCTAAAACTGTTACATTATCTGTTGTAGGTATACTATTATAATCAATATACATAAATATACACATTAGCTTCAGATAAAATATTTAAAAAAAAAAAACAAAAAAAAAATGTTTTTTTGGTAATCTAATATTTAAGCATATTTATATTACTTAACGATAATAGCCTAACAAACAATAATAACACAAAGCATTAAAATTCTAATATTTATATCGTATAGATTTTGGAATTTTCCGTTATTCCTTAGCACTTGATAGAAATTCTTTTGTCCTGTATATTATATGTAAGTACTTAGTGTGTTGTTATAATGCGTATATAATGTGTGTAAATATATAAATGAAAATATCGATTACATGGCCTATTATCAACTTATCTTCGTTACGGCAAACAGAATGTACAGTTTCCTTTTAACGGGTTAAAGGGAAAATCGAAAATACGCAGTCTTTTTTCATTTTTCAACAGGAACTATTTACATAATGTAATCATGATGAAAAAATATAAAATTCATGACATAAGTCTTCTAGAATGAAACTTGAATTGTATTAAAGAGTTATTACTTTAAATTTGTTACCATTATACAGCCACATATAACCATGCTTGTATGTATCAGTCACATCAGATAACTTTGCTTATAATATAATAATATTCAGTACAAACTACAAAGTATACATAATATTATATCATATTAAACATAATGTGATATTGAATTTCTACGTATTCAATATTTAAACATAATCATAATTAGAAAAACTCTGCTAATATACTAATTCAGTTGGTTAATATTTCTCGACGAAAGTAATTTTTTTTACATTTGTAAAAAATCCTGAGAAAACTGAAATTTACCCCTTTAAAATACTAGTTAGATTATGTTTTGTGACTTTTGTAATAAGTGTTACGCTTTCCTCTCCATAAAATTATTATTTACAGAAAAAAAATACCCATTTTATTAAAAACCCATTAATATATATTGAATATTCCTCGTTATAGTCAAATAATTAGAATCAAATTTCAAATGAATTTAACATTAGATGACTGTTTGATATCATATCATTACATGACTAATGTAATTTTAAATTAAATTGAAGTATTTGGTTCTTTACGTTTAAAACTAAATAAAAATGACGAAGTAGACATGGAATCAAAATTAATACATTTATATTATTATTTCAGCATTTTCCACTATCAAAAATTATAAATACTCTGAATATTAAAATAAACATAATTGGACTGAAAGCATTTATTTTAATGTTATTATATTTTTTTTTCGAAATTCGACCGAGTAATATTAAACCATTTTATTGTTACCAAATATATTGTTATTAATGTCAACAATCGACAAAATATTGTTTTTAAACTTCAATATTATCATTTGTGCTATTTGTGAATATAATTGTACTGGTCAGTTATGTTTTAAATCTTTTCGATTATTAATATATTTATAATTTCGAAAATTTCATCAAAGAAATGTTAGATTTTAATATTTAAAATAAAAATATCTAAAGGATTTTAAGGAATTTTGATACCTCTATGTCTAGATCGTAAATTAAATATGCATAATAATGATTATTAGTGGCACCAAAATTCTATATAACCACGAATATTACCATAATTTATTAAATACATCCTAGTAGAACAAATTTATTCTTGAATAATTCAAACCAGACTTCGAATATTTTAAATTATTTGTCAAGAAACATTTATCATTTAGATATATAATGAACTTAAATATAATTTGAAATTAAAAAAAAAATATATTACAATTGTGAAAGAGTATTTAATAATTAGAAATAAGACATTACAAATAGATTCATTTTTACAATATAAATATATAATATAATTCATATTATTATTCAGAGTGAAAAAACATAAATTGTGATAAATATTTGTTTAATGAAAAATAATAAGTAATATTTTAAGATCAAAAATAATTAATTTTATATTTTTTTATTTGGCATATTGTATTTAATCATATCAAAGTTCATACATAAATTATTCACTTTTTCTAATGTTTGGTATGATACGGTATATTATATTGAAGTTTCATTGTATCATTAAACTATTGTATTTGTTAGTTGTTGTTAAAAGTAACAGAGAAGTTACTCATTACTTTGGAGACTCAACAGCAATTCTTGATTATAGATTACTTAAATAATACATAATTGTTAGACTGTATTTTCAATGCGTATTAGACCTATTATAATATATAAAGTTCGTTTCGGTGTTTTCTTTGATTAATATATAGTAAAAATGTAAAATTAAATACATTTTTATGTTTAAAATTATACTAGAACTCTTTTTTTGTTTTAATATCTGAAACGAAATTGGTTATGTTTTACAATTATAAAAATTGTGAAAAATATTACACAAATTAAATTTTACTATAATTATATACTGTACTTATTATATTTTTAGATTTTTGGAGTAAAAAATATTTAGGTTTACAATGATAATAAAGTAATCCATATAATGTTTTACATATAACTCTTATTTAATAATTTATTATATAATTATACACATTCTTTTCAGGCATATATTTTATAGAATTAAATACAATTTACAGTAAGATTGTAAGAATGACTGTACAACATTAATAATTGTAAAATAATTGCTGTTAATAATAAATTACTTTGAAATTATATCAAAAATATTTAAAACTAAAATAAAAAAAATAAATTATTTTTTATCTTAATATTTTACAAAATTATAACATCTTTGTTTTAATTAAAGTTAATTACAGTGTTAATAAGTCCATAAATATTTTATACGTACTTTATATATTATGTATATTTTTTTTTTTTTTGTAAGTTTTAAGCACAAACATATAGGCAACTTTAAAGATTCTATTTTAAACAAAAAAATAGCACAGTAAGTACTAAAACAAATAAGCTGTACAAAGTAAACAGTTTTTTTTTTTTTTTTAATTAAAGCTTCATTATTTAATTGCTTTACAAAGTACAATTGAATACTTCAAAATAAATTTAAATAAAAGATAATAATAACTTATTATAATATCTTATTAATTAGCTAAATCAAAATAATTGAAATGATAAAAATTGGTTTTAAAATATTTTAAGATAAATAATGAATTAATGGAATTATTAATAATAATAAATTTTAGTTATTACATGAAAAAAATATTCATTGTATGGATTCCACTAAAGAGTATTATGTTCTGTCTTAAAACATATACCCATATAATTAATGAAAAACATATTTATTTATTTTTAGATATACCAAGAAATTATTTTTATCTTTAGTCAAAACTTCAAATATTTTAAATAATTTTACCTTCAAATATGAAAAACATGAGGTACTTATCGATACTTTTAACGAAAATACTTTTAATCTCAAACAAATGTATATGTATGCTTATTGCTTTTTTATATTAAATTCACTTAATATTTATAACAGCAATTTAAATGTTTATTTTATTCACAGCACATTATTATCTCAGCTACTCAAATTTGCATCATAGTTTCGATAAAAACTTCGTACTTTTTAAAGATAATTAAAACTCCAGTAAAGTATTATTAGATCCAATAATAAAAATGGTGCTTTTTCAACAAAGATTAAACCATTCACACTAAAATATTGAGGCATAAATTTGTAATTTTTTATACTTGATCCTTATTTGTACTTTTTAAATTATCATATCTTGAATAATAATATTTTATCTAAGGTTAAAGATGTTTACTGCTATAAAAAAATTGGAAACTTTTATACACGCTCTTTGGAAAATACTAACCCTTTCGTTATTGTTTTGGATTGTTTAATAAAATATTTCAATAATTTTTAATAGATTCAAGACTTTGTTACTAAGTTATTAAATAGTTGTTAATTAATTTATTGATTAAGATATCTCAATTATTAATGAAAATTAAAAAAATTCATGAAACTTTATTTTATTTGCTTAAAATTGAAACTTTTAGTATGATACTTTTTTAACAATATTTATTTTAGATAATTAAAAATAACATATTTTTTTAAACTTTGAAAAATGTAAGAAAAGTTTTTTCCAAATATTTCTAGGCATCATCAACATCTTAAAAAGTAATTCATTATTTGTTGCTATATATTCTTATCAACATTATGGTTTTATTTTGTTGATATAATCTTTTTTTTTGTTTATAAATATTTTAACAGCTGTATAAGCGTTATAGAATTTCAATAAAACTTTGTCGTATATGATGCGATAAGTCCAAAATAAACGATAAGAAAATACTGTTTTTCTTCACATAAATTAAATTGATTTCTGAGTATCAAATATAATATTTTTAATATTTTTATAAAAAAAATGTCTAGAATTATTATTTTTTAATCATAACAAAATCGATTTTATGTATACACTGTAAATTTATTCTTTTTTGCCTACTAGTATATGTTTTAAAATTTAATATTTATAATAAAAAAATTACTTTATTTTTTTTTCTTTTAAACTTTATTTTAAAACAAACAAACTGAAATATTTTATTTACGACTAGCATGTATGTGGCTATATATTTATATTTGACATAAGACGCGTGAGAAAAAAATCTACTCAATAGCAACATTTAATACAGAAATTACTAAGAAAAAAACAACTCTATCCAATTATTTATCAGCTAATTCAGCTAGATGTTACAATTTTTAATATATTGATGTAAGTTTATAAAATTTTTGGAGTACTTCTTCCTATATGTTGATAAATATAAACAAAATTATATCAGATAGTATATTAACTGTACTAACTAAAAAAAGATTATATTTTACCAATATACCTACTTACATTCTTTATTTTTTCCTTATCCCTCATATTGTAATAAACTATTGATTTATTTTTCATTCCTTGTAAATTGTCTACTCTATAAAATGTATTTTTTAATTTTATTTTTATTAAAAATCTTCTCAAAGATTACTGGGTCTTACTGAGATATCTCGTGTAAAGACCCAAGGTTATTTTTATCTTAAAATGTTAATATTACATATAATTTAAAAGCGAAATTTAATATAAAGTACATTAGAGACAAAAATAAGATAAAAAATATATATAATAAGATATAAATTAAAGTAGAATAAATTCATAGATCTGACGTATCAAAAAGTCATAGCCATATATTAGCCAGTGTAAAATTTTCTTTTTAAATAGTGGTAGTTGCATATTTATTTAGTAGCTGGGCATAGAGTTGTAAATATTAATCCCAATAATATCGAAAACCTTCCAACAGTCAGTATTTTTTTGAGCCAGGTTTGAAAGTAATTTTTTTTAATGTAAATCTGATATTAATACTATGGTTCAAAATTTATATCAAGTTCTGTTTTTTTTTTATATAATATATATTATAATAGTACACATTTTTAGTTATAAGTTTTTAATATTTAAAACTTTAAATTCTTTAAACGTAATTTTGATTAGATTCTATAGTCTTTTATCATTACAATCATAGTGTTTAGACAAGTTTTTAGCTGATTAAGCATATTTTCATAAGTTTCATCCCATGATATTAAACCACATGTGATTTGAGATTCAATGAGTTCTAGCTATATTAATTTAATATCTTTAGTATGTAGAATTTTACGTAATTGTTTTATGATACACATTTTTTTTTCAGTTTGATGCAGACCGATAAGATTTGATTTTTCTACTTCAAGTCATGGTTTATTTCTGTACCTAGATATTTAAAGATTTTACAACATTGACTTTTTTATAATAACATAATCCTGCCTTTTGACAAATATCATTGTGAAAGTTATGTGGGAAGGTAGGTACCGCTCTACTGTATGATGTAAGAATCGAGTAAATCACATGTTAAATTTGAATTCAATGATATGTCAATTAATATAAAATCAATTCTGAAAGAAGACGGTCTATGAGCCTATATATCTTGTTATTTTATTTGATATTGATATTAGGTAAATAATTTATTTTACTATAAGTAATCCAATAGGTTGAAATAAATGTTGATTAAAATATTTAGTTTGAAAATGTCATTGTGTATTTAAAATTTAAATTTAAATAATATAAAAACTTATACAGTATACTTATACCATAATCATAAAAATTCCCTATTTTATAAATATAAATAATTTTTTACAAATTGTCGTAATATTAACAAATTTCATCAAAATATAAATTTAAAATGTTTATAAAAACAAATTAAACCTATATATTTTAAATATTTTTATATATTACCAAAAAATACTTATATGGGAATTTGCATTAAAATTTTCAAGCATAACTCAGTAAAAAATTTGTTATCGGTAATGAAAAAAAACAAAGGAATTATAAAAAATGAAAAATGAAAAATGTCTTAAGAAAAAAATTTAGAATTATACAATGCCATTGACATTGATAAAGTCGTACTAGTTACCAATAATAAATGCAATATAATTTGACATTGCAGAGTTAAAAAAAATTATTATTTTTAAGTTGAAATTCAGTTTTTAATTATGCTTTAAAAAAAATAATGAACAATAATTAAATTTATAAATGCCTATAATAATAAAATATAACATTAGTTATATTTATAATTATGCCTATTATGCTAGGTATAATAATTAATTATAAAATAAACACATTTTTTTTTTTTGATATCTACAGTTAAAAATTAATAGAAAAAAAATCACTAAATATTTCCTTGAATAATATTAAGTAATACAAGCAAAATAATTGGTCTTAAAATTAAATTACTAAAAAAATTTAATCAAAAAATTAAAAATAATAAGAATAATTACGTTTTATAATCTAGGTATTTTAGAATTAATTTTTAATATTAAATATAAATTAAGAAAGATCGATTGAATATAAGCAATAAACAGGCACATTGTATTCAATTATTTTATATTATTAATAATGATAACTAATAGTGAGAATTGTTTATTTAAATTTAATATATGTTCTTCTATAATATAAGAAAAAAATGCATGTACAATATTTAGGAATGATAAAAATAACTAACGTTACTCCACAAATCATAACAAAATGAAAAAAAAAAAAGTAAAATTAATGCAACAAACTTACAGTTAATGAAAAGATAAAATATATTTTGGACTATTTTATGTTATTATCAAAAACATAAAGACGAGAAAATGTTTTGGTAGAATTATGACTAGGTAATAAAAACTATTGCATTAAAATTATATAGAATTTTTTAGAAAATAATACAGTAACAATAATAAAATACAGTGAAGAATATGAATCAAAATTATATGACAGACTATACTAGTAAATTATAATTTATTTAGCAGAAAAATATGGAATAAAATGTTTTAATAAAAGCTAGAAGAAAATTGATTTATTAAACTTAATACAAATTAATAAATAATAAAAAATAATTAAATAATTTCAAATTATGAGCAGAGCTATAAATGTATTGATTTTACAATGTTTTCGTGTTTATATACATAATAAGTATTCGAAAAGTGATTAAATTTTCAACTTTAATGATGGTTTCTCATAGATTATTGGATCTTGTTTATACTTTAAACAAGTCAAAATTAAAAATTACCAGTATCTTTTTAAATATTGTAAAAAACAAACAAAAAATTAAAGAAAAATGTAAATTTCTGTGTAAATTCAGTTTTTTTTTTTTTTTTTGCTTTTTTTTAAGTAACTCGAAATCTAATATTTGTAAATACTAGAAATTTTTACTCTATATGTGGTTATATGATTAATTTATAAATATGAATAATATTTTCGAAATATTCCTACAGTATTGAGTTATTTTAAATGAAATATGAATAAATATATAAAATGGTTGAATAATTGAAAAAATGTTATAATAATTGAATTAAATACTATGAAAAAAAAAAAAAAAAAAAATAGTTATATTTTTATGTCATATACGTAGAGTAAATGTCGCAATGATTAATAGGCTAATGAAAATAGTGAATTAGAAATGAGAAAATAATCTAATAATATTTTAATATTAAACTATTTTATTGATGATTTTTATTGTAACTTACAATGTCGATGAGCTGTGATAGTTTGAGCTTAATCCGTACTGGAAGCGGATCAGTGTTGTTGAGCACAGGCCTTACGAGTTTATTGTAATTTGATAAAAGGTCGTCGTATAGCCTTTTTGCATCCGGATTCATTGAACATCCTAAGATAATAATAAATTCTTTTTTTTGAAACTAATCAACAAAAATTGTATACAATTTATTGAACCATCACTTATTTAAACAAATGCTTTTAAATTTCTTACATCTAATTTATATTTATTAATCATTAACAAGACGAAAAAATTAGAAAATATTATATTTAACATTAAAAAACGTATACAAGTACACAAACTTGTACATAATAACATATACAGTAGAATCTCGGTAATCCGACACATATCAGACGACGCTACTGCCGGAATAGTGGGGAGTTCACAAAAAAAACGCATTTTTACTTTTTGAATTTTACATTTTTACTCGTATTAAAAAATGATTTAAAAATTCTTTAGGTTGAGAGCAGTTTTCTTTTTGTTTATTAATATTTAATCTGTTATTACTTAGTTTTATATAACGGTTTATCGTTTACGATAGTAAATTTATAAATATGTAAATACATATTGGTACATATAGGTTAATACAGCCGGATTACTGGACGTATCGGATTATCGAACGGCCGGATTACCGAGATTCTACTGTAATACCATTACAATAGGTATCTGCAATTAAATAACTATTACTTTTATTAAATATAAATGTTTTTCACACCTACACAAACTCAAGTCTCAAGGTAATTTTAATTATGTTGATTAGAGTAGATAAATTTTTTATTTCATTGGCCAATTTATACATTTGAATGCGTATGGTAGTATTTTAGAACATTTTCGATTGCCACAGAATATTATTTCTTATTAGCACAATTCTACGACCAGTATAGTGCAATAATATATACGTTATTGATTTGGTGCTACTGGATACATGCATCTTACGATAATTTTTAAATCATGAAATAAAGTTCCAAATATTTAGGAGGGCCGAAAAAGATTTTTGTGTTCCAAGAGTTAGACCATATTATCATAGATATTCAACTTCATACATAATTACTATAAAAGATACTCAAATACTTTCTTATTTTTAAAAACTTCTGAAATAATTTCATTAAAAAATCTAATAATATTATTCATTTATTTATTTGCATAAATAAAAAATTTAAATATTTTAACTGTATTGTATATAAGTAAAAATTGTTAGTCAATAGTCTAGATACCATGACTGATTTTAATAATAATAAAACATTTACTAAGCTATCAATATATTATTTTAGAAATATTTAGCTTAACCTGTTTTAAAATCTAGTGTAAGATAAAATAAAAGCTTAATATTTGATATTGCTATATTTAATACAATTATAAATAAAAAACGTATTCATTCATATTTTTTAAAAATTTAATTTTATCTATTATTAATGTTATTTTTATTACAGATCAAAAAATAACAATGATTTAATAAAAAATATGTATAAAGAAAATTATTAACGATACGTTATCATTAAAATGTAGAACAATTATAATCAAAAATAATAATACATTTAATAAAAAATATTATTATTATTACTATTCTTAATTAAGAGGTTACTATATATATAAAACATTAGTAGCTTAAGCTCTTAAAAAAAATTGCATCGATAACTTAAGGTATGTTAATTCGTGACGTAGCAAAATGTGACCTAGATAAAATTATTTTATTTACTGCTGCAGTCTGTGATTTCATTATCATAATTATTAGTTATAAATTATAACAAATATAATAGGTACTAATATGAAATTGTTGGTCTCAAAATAAAATACTTATGAGTAACTTTGGATTACATTTCAAGCCTTAACTATTAAAATTGCAGACTTTGTACATTTTCAACGCAAAGCAATTTGAAAATTTTCGTAATTTCACCTATGTGTTTTAAATATTTTTACAATCTATAAGAACAATTATTTATTTGAGGTCTTGTGTTAGATTTTCAAAAATTTTGAAAAACCGCATAATTATTTTTCCATTAATTCTAAAAAAAAAAAAAAAAAACTATAAAAAGCTTAAATAGGATCAAAATATTTAGAAAACTGTATTATATATGGGAAGTTCTAATGTAAATATTTCGTAAAAATGTACAGTCAAAAACTTTTTTGTCGCTAATTAGTCTTGCGTAAAATACCTGTTTTATCTTTTCATTTTTTTTTTTTTACCTTGATTATTTTGAAAATACAGAGAATTTTTAAATTTTAATCTCTTTAAAGTACAAAATATATTCAATTTTCTATTCAAAATCACTCTCAAAGTTAAAAATCAAACTATTTTTTTGATTACTTATTATTTTTATAAAATAAAAAAAAAACATACACACACCATTGTAAAATCAATACGCTCCGTCCAGAATCTAAAACACGTAGACCGGATTTTCAATTGTTCATATATTGTAAACGGAGATGAAAAATGTTGAACTGACATCCTTTTGATAAAAGATAAAGTAAAAAGTACACATGGAAATATTATAAGAAAATACAAACGTACCTAATTAATGGACACAATTTCGATGGAATCATGCTTAGAATTTATAGTGCTTCCTGATAATACTCGTTGAAGGTTATCGGTGGCTTTCTATTTCGTAATGAAATAACCGATGATTACAAATTATCTTTTTAATATCAACAATTCAACGAATATTATATTTAAATGATAAATTGAACTAGGTATAGTACAATAGGTACATATAATAAATTCTACACCGTAAACAAAAGTTATAAGAAACAACGAATAATCAAACAAAAAAACATCATTGCAAAAATAACAATTTTTTTTTATTTAGAATCTAAAATATTGTAATAAAAGGTAAAGATTATAATAATGGAATTTTCATAATCAATGAAATTAAAACTCAACTTTAAAGAGAGTTTTGAATAATTATTACAGTTTAAAGCTCTATACTCTTTATTTATAGTAACAAAATAGTAAATATAGTTAAAATAATATGATATGAACATTAATGAATTTTAACTGATTATTTTTAATTATTAGCTTTTGTATAAAAGTTTCATTAATTATAATCGATAAAGTGTTCTAGACATGCAATATATATGTATACTGAGTATCATTACATAAAGAGTGTCTTATGGTGATACAAACTTTTATCTTTTAAATAAAAATTTCACTATATTGTAAATTATTTTGTGGATAATTTTGTTTTAAAAACATTGATACGCCTAATTAAATCTATTATCTTTAATACACTAAGTTGATCAACTCAAAAACGTCTCGTTCAAATCTTCATTTTTATACGCCAAAATATTCAGAAAATTATCCAGTAAATAGTTTACTATTGTAAAAAAGGTGGTTGGGATATTTCTTAGGGAGTGCAAAGAAATTCGAAAATCCAAAAATAAGGACTTAAAGTAAAAGTATTTCAAAATTCTAAAAATAAAATTTTGAATCTATGTAGGTTATTGTAGAAAAATGAGTTTATCATGATTGATGAATCGTCCTCTATATACGGAACAGTTGAATGAATACTTACTAGTTACGAGTAACGAGTAATACTTTTTGTATATTATATAACTGGTATCAATTACACAGTATACTTACAACAGTAACCGATAACGCTTACTTCCGTGTCACCTGATATAGTTTTATCTATGGCCCTTGGGTGTCATATCGTTGGCCAGTAAAGAAATGAGTACCTACACCGCGAGTATTAGAATGGTAGGTACATCAGCTATCAATAGGAACTTAAAATTTCAGCTGTTCAAAACCCCATTAGTTGCAAAATTATAAAACGAATATATATTTTAAAAAAACGGTTCGATAAAATCCCCTAAGTTTGGTGTGCATCCCCAGACCAGGAACCGCCCACCCGATGCGCGATGGCGCGTTTATCTGGCCGAGAAAATTGTTTTCGGGATTCTCGTATATTATACTCCTAAAGCAGTAGATTGAGTCGTCGAGAAATTCATTATGCCTCTTTCTTCCTATAAAACCTTCTAAATTATTTTTCTACCCTCTCGGCTGAAAACCCGAACAAAAGATTCTTATTATGAGTTTCCTTCCTATTATACGCCAATTTCACATGATACACGCATTATTACGAAAATCGTCACTTATACTTTTTTAAAATTATTTAGTATATTATTGTATTTTTTTTTTCATTATTGTTATTATAAATGGACATATACTTACAAAGGAAATCGCCTATATATAATTATGAAGTGGAATAAAATAATAAAATAATTTAATTTGTTAGAAATAAAGTATTTATTTAAAATATATTACTCTTATAAATATTTCATTTTGTATATTATACATTTATATTTATATTTATATTTAAAATCTTAATAATATTTTAAATATTATAATTTAATAATTTAAAATAAATCATAAATGAATCATCTTAGAATAATTAATGAGTGCGCAAAAATGTGTTGTCATATATTATTTTAAGTGGGCATCACTCTTGTGATTAATATAACACTATAGTTGTCATAATCAAATATTATAATAAAAAAAACTAAAATAAAACTTTAAGGATATAAATTGTATAATTCATAGTGTGAAGAAAAATAATAAATTTAATCGTGGTCTTATGGTTATTAAAATTTTAAAATATTATTATTGAATACATACCTATTATTATGTAAGTAATATTTTAATAAATAATATTCATTTTAAAGCATAAAAATATTTTTGAATGTTGAATGTTTTTATTACAATATGTAATAACTAAATTTAGAAGTATAAAATATACAAAAATATCTATCGACTAATATTGGTAAAGTTTATCAATCTGCTAGATAAAAATTTAAAATACTTAACCTTAGTAAATAAATTTTATTTGAAAATATGTAAGAATTTATTTGTATATTTTTTTATCATTTTTACCTAACCCACAGAATCTAAAAGTATATCCAGGTACTTATAATGTTATATTATATGAAATAAGCAAATTGATAGTTTTTAGTTTTATACTATGCCAAATATAATCTATGAAAATAATTTACTCATATATATATATATATTAAAACCTAAAATTTCAAATTTATTAAATAAATTAGGATTAAAATTTTATCAGGATCAAGTTTTTCTTAGAGTTTATAGGCGCTCAGTTAATCAACAGTTTACATAC